CAATGTACCCACTATCCCCCCTGCTGATCCCTGACAGGTTTTTTTAAAATTAATTTTATTGGGAGCAGCCAGTGGTGTAGTAGTTAAGGGCACTGGACTCCCACATGGCTGACCATGATACGAGTTCAGGACATGGCAACTTGAAAAAACATACCAGGCGTATGTGCACGTATTCCCAAAATCCTGAGATGAGAATGAAGAAGAAGGGATTGTGGCATGGCCATCCTCCTGGGGGAGGGGATTCTTTCTCACTTTCCCTCTTTCTCTGTCTTTGGTGAGTGCACATGCTCTATAGCAAAAATGAAATAATAATATGTTTTATTAGCATATAATAATTGTACATATTCGTAGGGTGCAATGTGTTTTTCCATGAAAGACTACAATGTGTAGTGATTAAATGGGGGTAATCAGCAGGTCCATCATCTTAACCATTTGTCATTCCTTTGTGCTGGGAACATTCAAAATCCTCTTTTTTAGTTACTCTGAGATATACAGTAAATTTTTAATAACCACTTCCTCCCCATTGTATTTTATAACACTAGGCATTGTTCCTCCTCTCGGTAATTTTGTTTCTGTTAATCAGCTTCCTGCTGTCTACTCCTCTAGCCTTCCCAGTCTCTGGGAGCCATTTCTCATTTCTCTCCTTCTGCAAGATCATATTTTTTTCAGTTTCCACACATGGAGAACATGTGGTGTTTGACTTTTTGTGCCTGGCTTGTTTCAATGAACTGAATGTCCTCTGGGCTTAGACATTTAACTTCAAATAATGGGATTTTGTCTTTTTTTTTTTTCTCTACAATTTGCACTTGCCAGGGAGATGGGGAGAGAGAAAGAGAGGAAGTGAGAAATCAACCCCGGGGGTCGGGGATGGCCATGCCATGATCTCTTTTCCATTTTCTTTTCAGGATTTTGGGCACACATACAAATGCCGTTGTCTTTTTCAAGACCTGTGTCCAGGACTCAAACTGCAGAGTAGACCATTTGAGAGCTAGCTGCGTTCACCACCATGCCACCTGCTGGTCCAGAATTTGGGGCTTTATAATGGCTGAATAGTATTCCATTGTGGGTGTGTGCATGCATGTGTGGATGACATCTTTTTTTCTTTTTTTTTTTGAGAGGTTTTTGCTATAGGGCACGTGCGCTCACCAGAAAGACAGAGAGACAGAAAGCGAGAAATCACCCCCCCAGGGGATGGCCACGCTGCAATCTCCCATGGGGGGAGTGAGTCCTTTCTCCCTTTCCCTCTCTGTGGTGATTGCACATGCCTTCTAGCAATTAAAAAAAAAAGCTATATACTTAAAAATCAGTGAATTTGTTGTATGTATATAATACCTTAAAGGAAAAAGTCCTCATTGTAAGGAGCAGTCAGTCAGGGTGGTTCTGATCAGCTGCAGCAAGACCCTCACTGGATCTTGGTAAGGTGGGGCTGTACCCAAGATGACCTTTCTCTCTAATGTATAGGAAACCTTAGGAAAACCGCCTTAGCCAACCAGAGGATAGGATAGTGAGTATTTCTCATTCAGTTTCTTTCAAAGCACTTTTACGTCAGTCCTTAGAAACCCTTTCTCAGGCCAGTAGTGGAGGACACTAGTGTCCCCATGCACTGGTTCAGGAACTGGAGAGCTAGAGCACAGAGGTGTGCAAAGGCAAACTCTGTCCGGAAGACAGACGCGTGTGCGCATCACGCTTGGGTTACTGTGTTTCATGACCTGGTGAAATCATTGCAACTGGCTGTTCAGACCTTCTATTATTCACGGTTCTTGCTTCCTCTCCTTTTCTCTAATCCTCCTCTGTTTGTTCATTTGGTCGTTTTATTCCAAACAGTAATGTTCACTGAACGGCAGGATAGGGAAATAAAACATGAAAGTTAGGTTAGGTACTGTGGAGAATGATTTTAATAAAAACCTCTGTAGAAAAGGCAGTCATAATTAGCACTAAAATGAATTCGAAATTGTGGTGGATTTCAGCTCGTTTCGCTCCCCTGATCTTTTGTTCTTGTGAAAAACTGAGGTTGATCATGCCAAGCACCTAGCGAGGGTGCACTCCTTTGTCCTGCTGCAGAAGCAGCGTCTGCGTAGGGCAGCCGCGCGCGGGGCCTGGGCCATGCACAGCACCCATGTGTTTGCCTGTGTCAGTTTGCAGTGATGATCTCACCCACAAATTCAAAGGATTCACTGTGATGAACGAAGCCGAGAGATACGAAGCTCTCAGACACTGTCGCTACGTGGATGAAGTCATCAGAGATGCTCCGTGGACACTCACGCCAGAGTTTCTGGAAAAACATAAGGTAGTTCTCCTTCCTTCTCCCATGTTCTCTAAGTAGTGGTAGCAGGATTAAGGAGTCTGGTTCTGCACCTGAGAACACAGAAATCCCCAAAGACTTGTGATGTCTTTCTTCTTTTTCCTTCTCTTTCTTTTTTTTTTCTTTCTTTTTTCTTTATCTTCCTTCCTTCCTTCCTTTCTTTCTTTTAAAAATTTCCATAAAAGTGTATGTGCGGGACTAGCAGCTGGAATAATGATTATGTCACTGGACTCCCACCAACCACAGTTGATGCGGTTCGAGTCCTGGGCCCGGCAGCTTAAAACTCACGCTGGGTGTGTGTGCATGCATGCCCAAAATCCCAAGAGGAGAATGGAGGATAAGGGACTGCCGTGTGGCCATCCTTTCCTGGGGGGAGATTTCTTGCTTTCTGTCTCTCTGGCGAGCGCATGTGCCCTATAGCAAAAATCTCTCAAAAAAAAATGTACATGTGCTTGCTAGGAATGTAGGAGTGGAGAAAGCACCCCCCCCCCATGGGATATGGTCATGCCGCAATCACTTCTTCATTTCTCCACTCTGTTGGGATTTGGGGCATATGCACACATGCACCCGGCCTGTTCAAGCCACTGGGCCCAGGAACTGAACTGTGGTTGGCCATGTGGGTTCCAGCTTCCTTAACCACTAAGCTATGGCACCAGCCCAACTTGCAATTCCTGAAAGAAGGAACTTCTGGAGCTGTCGCATAGCATTATTTGACACAGCACATCTGTCCCTCCCAAGCCTGGGGGTCAATATGGTATCGCTCAAGCTTGCCAGAGCTAGAGCACCCAGGTCCAGGTGCTGCCTCCATCTCTTCCTAAATGCTAACGTGAGCCAGATATTCAACAGCACAGTACTCACTTACCTCAACCGCAAAATGAGACGCTATTGCTATCTTCCTCATGGGGCTGTTCTGAGCATCTAATGAGATAATCCAAGCCAAGCACTTAGAACACGGACCGGCCCATAGCAAGAGCTCCAAGACTGTCATCGACATCACCACCACCATTGCTGTTGGGGCTTACAGTCACAAGCACCCTTTCTCATGGAACAAACGAACACGCATCTTATCCCGAAGGTCAGGAGTCAGCCTTTACAGAGAGAACTTTCTATCGATGGTTTTGTGACCCTGAGACTCCTACTGACACGAGATTTTTATTAGCTGAAAACATGTGAAATTCTTTTGATCTGCATCAAATTATGTAATTTGTATCTCCCTACCAGCCCCACATTAGGAGCTATTCTTTCCTTTTATAAGCAGTACAAAAAAATAAGATTAAGCTGTTCTGAGAATTTTCTTTTCTATTTTTAAATTCACGATGCAGAAGAGAATAGAGAACACTGATAAATGTGCATGGGTAATAGCAGAGGAGACAATTTCCCAGTGAGAATAAAAAGAAAAAGGGAAAAAAAGTACAATATGATTTACTTGCAGTAATCACTACCACATTTTTACTAAGCATCTATTGTGTATTCAACACGCAGGAGGCATTCTGGGGACTAGCGATAATGATAATGATGGCTGCCATGTTACCGAGCGCTTACCGTGTGCCCAGACTGTGCTCAGGACTTCGCTATTGTACAAATAGAACTCAATCTCCTGGCTGCTCTGACAAGTTGTCGTTATTATTATTATACATGGCAGAAGAGGAAGAGCTAAGTTTGAGTGCTGAGAATAAATTAATAAAATAATAAACATGTATTAAGTATTGGTTGTGTCATTTGCAGTTATTGTTTTAAAGTACCTTTACATAATTAGGTTATTTAATCCAGTGATTCTCCACTAGGGGTGAATTTGCCCCCAAAGACAGTTGGCAGTATCTGCAGATGTCTTCTGATTGTCACAAATAGAGGGGTGCTACTGGCATCTAGTGGGTAAAAGCCAGGATGCTGGTAAGCATCCTCCGATGCACGGACATCCTCCTACACCGAAGAGTCATCCAGTCCCAGCCCAGGCGTGGTAATGTGCTGCTAAGATCCTTGCTCTGCAGGCTGGGACCAGATAGGGAGGGCTGGGTTCGAGTCCTGGTCCCACCCGAAGGCTGAGTGCGGTGCTATGTACCCATGATCCTGACAACTCAAGGAGGCTAAAGGCAGGAAAATCACAAACCCGAGGCAGCCTGGACAACATAACAGATGCTGTCTGAAGAAAGAGCCAGTCATGGTGGCATGCGCTTCTGGTCTTAGCTGGGAGGCCAAGGCGAGAGGGTCGTGACTTGGTAAGACCTGTCTTTAAAAAAAAATGATTCATTCCTGAATGTCCCTAGCACTGAGGTTGAGAAATCCTGGTTGAATCCTTACCACCAACTTATGAATTATATAGCTAGTAAGTGGTGGAGCAGGAATCATACCCAGACAAATGTAACTACTACCCCAGACTACCTCTGCAAGTAGGTTGAAGTCTCATTGTAAAGTGCTTTGGAAGCTAGGCAAGGAGTGTTTACTCAATGTGGTAGGAAACAGGAATAAAGATTAGCAGTCAATGGGGCTGGCAGTTGGCATGGTGGTTAAGGCGCTGGATTCCCACATGGCCAACCACAGTTCAAGTCCTGGACCTGGCAGTTTGCTTTCTCACTTTTTCTCTCTCTCTCTCTCTCTCTTTCTCTCTCTCTCTCTGATGAGCACACGTGCCCTGTGGTGATTTAAAATAATAATAATTAATACATAAATAAAATAGAAATAAAAAGATTAGCAGTCAAGAGAATGACCAGAAGGAAATACTGTTTAAGGAGGACATCCCCCCCCCCTTTGACAGCAGGACGGCTTGGAGAGGAGAGAGTCTATAGTAAGGAAGGCCAGATGCAAAGTGGCAGGCCCCTGGTGTAGTGACAATGGAGAGGGAAGGATGTGTGCATGCAAATGCACGCACACAAGTGTATGCACACGCATGGAGCCTGTGACCTATGTACCAGGAGGAATATAGGACGTGGGGAAATAAGGCTGAATCTAAAGTTTTGGGCTAGGTAAACTGGAAAAATAGAGATTCTATTGGGAGGGGGCACCAGTTTTCTTAAAGATAAATTAAATTCAAGATAGGTGGATTTATTTATTTATTTTAGAGAGATTTTTGCTATAGAGTGCATGGGCTTGCCAAAGAGACAGAGAGAAACAGAGAGACAGAAAGTAAGACATCACCCTCCGGGGAGGATGGCCATGCTGCAGTCCCTTCTTCTCCATTTTCATCTCTGGATCTTGGGCACGCATGCACAAGCACCTGGCGTGAGTTTTAAGCCACTTGGTCCAGGTCCTGAACTGCAATCGACTATGTGGGAGTCCAGCAATGTAACCATTATGCCATCTGCTGGTCCTGACAGGTGGATTTTAAAGCAATAGCAAGAAATGGAAGAAGAGAAGATGGGCTAAAGTGGGAGTTAAGAAAGTTAAGAAAGCCAGGTCTGGGACCAGCAGTTGGCATAATGGCTATGTTGCTGGACTCCCATGTAGTCAACTGCGGTTCGAGTCCGGGACCCGGTGGCTTAAACTCACGCCAGGCACGTGTGTGTGCATGTGTGCTCAAGATTCTGAGAAGAGAATGGAGGAGAAGGAATTGTAGCATGACCATTCCCCAAGGGGGAGATTTCTTGGTTTTCATCTCTCTGCCTATGACTACCTTGCTCGTGCCCTATAGTGAAAACCTCTCCCCTCAAAAAAGCCTGGCCTGATTATCTGGCAGTCCACTCCTGTCTTCACATCACTTATGAGCTGTGTGACTTAGGGCAAATCTAGCAGGTTTTCCAGTTTCGGCACCTTATGTCCCAAGCAAGGTAGTCATACGGGTCCTACCTACCTCACAATGTGGTTATGAGAATCAAATGAGAGAAGAGACACATTCATCTTTACAATAGACAACAGTAGCTAAGTGCAGCAGCCATTGCCATCAACGAGACAGGAAATGGGGAGATTTGGGTTCCAAATCATAGCAGGGGTGACTCAAATCCAAAGAATGAATGAGTTGAGTTCTCTAATGGAGAAAATTTAGAGGCAGAAGAACAGAAGGGCCGAGAAAACCTACTGTCATTGGTAAGAGAAGAAAGAGGGACCAGCAAAGGAGAGAAATCAAACATTTATTCTTCTATAATGGTTCCCAGTATCTCTTGGAAATGGAGACAGAAAGACCTTTCAGTTAACGATCGAGATGCACACTATGTCACACGTGACTGCCTTATTTTGAAATGGCGTTTTGGGGTCAACAATCCCCTTCATCTCCAGATATTGATCTCAGCTATGATGTCATGCTTCTCTCTCTTGCACAGATTGACTTTGTGGCTCATGATGACATCCCGTATTCGTCTGCCGGCTCTGATGATGTTTACAAGCATATAAAGGAAGCAGGTGAGGTGGTCCCTGTGTTCACCTGTCTGCTGCTTCACAATAACCAGGTGTAATAAGAAACATCTGCCCTAGGACTGCAGTGTATACAGAACAGGGCATCGGAACTTGCTGTGTCTCCCAAATACTTTCCCAGGCCTTTGTTGAATGTACTAGCTAAGGCCCAATCATGGTACAGGTGCCATTTAGGTGTTCATATGAGGAACTAACCTGAGCGCTAGAGTACTCAGTTTGGGGTCTGAGGCTCGATTTTAGAGCTAATCAAACTGAAAGCACAGGACTCTACAGCTTAAAAGGCATTCATCTTCTGGAACCAGCAGATGGTGTAATGGTTATTTACTGGATCCCCACATGGCTGACCGTGGTTCAAGTCCTAGACTCGGCAACTTGAAACTCATGCTAGGCATGTATATACCTAAAATCCTGAGAGGAGAATGGAGGAGAAGGGATTGCAGCATGGCCATCTCCCCAAGGGGTAATTTCTCACTTTCTGTCTCTCTGTGTCTCTCTGGCAAGTACACACACCCTATAGCAAAAATCTGTCTCTCTTTTAAAAAAAAAAGACATTAATTTTCCTCATTCACAATGAAGTCTTCATAATGAAGTTATTTTATGTTCCCAAGAAATTTCCTTCCAGAAGAAGACAGACAGTCAAACATCTAGTCAAACTAGCTAGTCAAACATCTGTACTTCTCATCCCGAAAGTCAGTCCTGCTATATTTTTAGTGTCATTCTGTCATGTGATAGTAATATCCTCAGGTACCACATGTGAAAGTAGAAAAAAAAAGATAGAAAATAGATGACCATTATAATGGCTTTGTTTATTTTCTGCTCTTCTTACTCTCTGTCATGCATGTCATCTATGGGCACTATGCATACCTCCCCACGTTCATCAAAACATCATTTGGCATGGCACAGAGACTCTAGTTAGTGAGTTATATGCTTAGGGATTTGAGGAAGGCTAATACACCCCACATTGTACTGGAGCTGCCCTCATTGCTAACACCTGCTATCAGAGCCTTCCTCCTACTCCTGGAGACTACTGCAACTCCACCCAGCTTGCTCCCACTATTTCCGCAGCTGCTACAGTCTTTATCTGGTCCTCATGGACCTTCAGACCCTTGAGGAAGGACAGGCTCCTGTCATTAACTCAGGCTTCTATTCCCTCCTTGGCGTCATTGCCAGCTCCTAGAAGAACTGATTCTTGTGTCTCTCCCATGATGAGGGACTCCCTGCCTTCCACAGCAGCCCATTCGATCTTCAGATGGTCTTGACTGTCATTGAATGGCCCATGAATTCCTTGAATGCATGCATGTGCCAGGAATTGTCTGAGTAGAAATGTGATACAAATATAAATAAGACATAACCCTCTGGGACCAGCAGTTGCGGTAATGGCTATGTTGCTGGACTCCCACGTAGTCAAGCTTGGTTTGAGTCCTGGACTCGGTGGCTTAAACTCATGCTGGGCATGTGTGCATGCATCCAAGATCCCAAGAGGAGAGGAGAATGGAGGAGAAGGGATTGCGGTGTGGCCATCCCCCTGGAGAGTGATTTCTCGCTTTCTGTCTCTTTCTGGTGAGTGCGCGC